GATGGTTTATTAGTAGCAGTGCCTTCCTAGGGGGATGATTACCTAGGAGCATGTCTCAGAGCTGCAGGACCTTGTGTAAATGTTGCACTGGGTGAGGCTGTAGTGCAGGATGTCCCTTCCTTTTGATTGCTTCATTGTTTGAGTCCTAACTGTGTGTTCATCAGCTGACTTACCTTCATTTTTCTAGTCTGGATCACATCGTTGTGTTTTTAGAATGAGCTAGGAAAACTCAGATGTTATCTTGATTTGACTGACTCTCCTAACCCTATCTGCGTTTAATTTTTAAAAACATTTAACTCCTCCTGGGGTTTATGAGATTTTCTTGCTCTGGCTCATCCCTGTTTAAGAGGAATTTTAATTAGTAGAAGTCCCTGTCTATTGGATACATTTAAAATGACTTTTATGTAAATTTGCTTTCTCTTTTAAAAGAGAACTGCTTTGCTAGTGTGATACCGAATAAGGAAAATGTGAAAAAATTGTAATTCTCTAGTTCAAGTATGATACGTAGTCTAGTACAGAAAATATCTTTAATTCAGATGGACTGAGAGAGCTTGAGATAAGTGTAAGGGAGCTGAGTTACCCAAGTTTACTTTTTAATTGCATAAGAGTGGAGCATTTTAGTTCTATTTCCTAATTGTTATCAGAAGAACTTGGAAATAGGTGTGACTTCTTGGCAGTGGAGGGAAACTGGAAAGTTTGGTGTCTAATTCTCCCTTGGAGTTAATAGAGTGACCCGCTTCTTTGAGGACTTCTCAAAAGCATTTCTTAAGTGCCTATCTAAAAGCAGCGAAGACTGTACCTGCCCTGAAAGCTAAGATTTGATTCCCGATGCACATTAACCAGATGATTTGCAAAGTAGCACTGAGGTTTATGTTTCCCTATTATACATTTCCCATATTTCAGGTGAATTATTTAATTTAAATGACAAAACTATCTCATGAACTGGGCTTATTGTTGTTTTCTTTAAATTAGAGTATTTTGAATTAAAAGAGTTTTAATATAACTTTGTTTTTCTAGTATGTAGAAAGCTTGTTTAATTCAAATTCATTGGTTTCTTGATTTAATGTAGACTGACTTTTTTATTAAAAATATTTGTATTAAAGCAAATTATATCTTTCTTTTATGCATTTATTATTACCATAGCTTTAAATCTTTAAATGTATTAAACCATTGTACTCTGGAAGTACAACCAGCTTCTAAATGGAATATACAGATGATCTAATGAGCTAGTTAGTTTACTGGAAAAATACCAAATGTGGAATATCAAAACTATTCTTTACTGAAGCTTACCATAAGATTTCATTTGTTTCCATAATAGCATATTTTTGTTTTTCAAACTCTTGTGTATATTTGTATAGAGCTGTAAATTTTAAAATATTTTAAGTACATTTACTTTTGGGTCTTGGTGTAGAAAACCTCTTTATATAATCAATCATTCTCTACTGGTCAGAGCAATAGCTTCTATCTTTTGATAGTCTACAGGTATATTAATAATTGAGATTTTTGCTACTTGAAACATTCTCTCTGAATTATGAAAAAATTCAGAACATTCAAAATGAAGTTTGCTACAGCCATAGTTATTTGCTGTTTTCTTTATTTAAAATTTATTTTCTCTTAGAAGTGCACTTATTCCTGAAAAATTTTAATGAAACAAACATTTAGAACAAATATAAATATAAGACACTTGGGACTATTAAGAGATAAATATTTTAGATTTTTTTGTGACAATGTGAGAGAAGATATTGCTGCTTTATAGAATAAAGTAATGAAAATATATCTAAGGTTTTCTTTAAGCAGTATAATCCAGCAGTTGTCTAGAGAAATAATCATCAGGCTGTTGAGTTCAGCATTTCCAAAATTGTTTTGGTGGCATTAGGGCTTTTTCATTGAAGGTAAGACAAGAATAAAAACTATATTTACAAAATTTCTGTTGGTAAGGTTTTTTTGGTTTTGAGTTTTGAGATAGGTGTGAGATATCCAAAACTCAGTGAAGACTATTTTGCGAGTGCAAATTACTAAAAACCACCTCACTTGAAGATCATACCAAGAACAAATAAATGGGGCTGGTGAGATGGCTCAGTGGTCTAAAGCACCTACTTAGAACAAGCTTAGCAAAGCACAGGCGACCGCGGTTCAATCCCCCAGCACCACATGCCAGCCAGCCGCGCTCCCTGGTGGGCTGAGCTGGACACACACACACATAAATAAATAAATTAAAAAAAAAAAAAAGGGGGGGCCTGGCCCTAGCTCATACCTTTAAGTGGCGGCTTCCACAAAGCTGTCAGCCTCAGGTTGCTGGAGTTCGAACCTCACAACTCTCCCGCTGGCCAAAAGTGCCCTGAAGGCATTCGAGGAACAAAAAAAAAAAAAAAAAAAAATAAATGCTTGAAGTATGAGTTGTGTTGCATTTAAAAAAGCAAGATAGTGGAATAAATTTTTACATTGTTCAAATCTGCAGCTAAGGGGCTGGTGAGATGGCTCAGTGGTCTAAATCACCTACTTAGAACAAGCTTAGCAAAAACAAAGGGACCGCAGTTCAATCCCCCAGCACCACATGCCAGCCAGCCCCGCCCCCTGGTGGGCGGAGCTGGCCACACACACAAATAAATAAATAAAAAATTAAAAAAAAAAATCTGCAGCTAAGAACATAGTGCTACAGAACTGTAAGTCATGGTTCCAAGTGCTTGCTGGGCAGTGCATATAGAACTAGTCCTCAAAGCGAAAGGTTAACACGTAGCAAGTTGGAGAAGTGACTTGGCCAGCACTCCCATGGCAGATGCTGACAACCACTTGCACCTTCCCTGAGCTCAGAGGGCGCCAGTCAGGATGCCACCACTCAACCTTTGCTCAGCAATTCTCTACTTAGGTCATTTCAGCAGTACTTTTGTAAGAGGACAGTAAAAAGAATGAATATCAGGATTGGGCATGCAAGCAAACTTGGAGACTGAATTCAACTTTGAAAAGCATCGTGATATAAAGAACTTGTGCTTTTCCTGGGGCCGGGGAGATAGCTCAGTAGAATAAGCTGCTTGTCTGGCAAGTGCAAGGGCCTGAGTTCATTCCCTGGTTCCACCAAAAAACAAAACAAAACCAAAAAAACAAAGTGCTTTTCCTGATACGATTCTTTTTGTTTCTTATAGCTATTCTGTAATTAAATATAACATTATTTTATAGCTGATGAATATGAAGCTGATTGTGACTTAGCCAAAAACAGAAGTAATAAGTTTTACTCAGGAACCCTCAAAACAGGGTTTCTCCTTCCTCAGACCATGGAGGATGCTTCTCAGAATACAGAAGAGCATGTGGGTGATGTGACACCTTTGTTACTCTGTGTACTGTGACTTCATGCCATAGAGGATACAGGCAAGATGGGTTCAGCAAGAATGAGAATGAGTTACTCTTCCAAAGAGTACCTTCCAGGGAAGTCATTTAGAATCTCAGAGATAGAAGAACTTGTGTTCCCTATTTTAACTTCGAGAATGTCACCTTTGCGCTGGTCCTGTTTTCTCAGAGATCCTAGCCAGCGTCAGGGACCCCAGTACAGTCTTCACAGCGTGAAGGCCAGGAAAGGAGAAGTCGTGGGCTCGAGCTGCAGCTCAGCCACACAGCACTCGCACACGCGGGACTCGGGTGTGATCTGCAGTATGCCGAACAAAACACCAAACCCCCAACTTGTGCCCCATTCTCTTGAAGAGCCAGAAAGATCTTGCAGAAGCACCTGGTAAGCAAGGTCCCTTCACATCTCATTGGCCGTTGTTGCCATCTGTCCACTACAAAGCCTCTGCCTGGCAAGTGACTAAAAATCACTGGGGTGGTGTCACCTAAAGCACATGGCCACCTGGTACAAAATGAGGGTTCCTGGGGCAAGTACAGAATAAAAGATTGCCAGGCTCCTACAGTGATGTTTTTATATGAAGCCATTTGT